CAAGTGAAAAATTCAAATCTGGTAATACTACTCACTCCCACTTGGTAAATCGTACACCAGCTCCCGTTGACAGTCAATCAGGTAGACCGATATGTCTGGGATTCAATAGAGGTAATTGCAAATTTGGTACTTCATGCACCTATGCACATGTGTGCCTAGAGTCTACTTGTCGCAAGGCACATCCTAAAACTACCCATGCCACACCTACCCTGGTTTCAAAAAACTAATTACGGAGTCGCCACCCACCCCTAAACCAGTCCCACCAGATTACGCTCTCAATTACAAAATATGGCAAAATGAACTGCAAAATGACCCCGACGCTGAATTTCTCCTCGCAGGCATACAAAATGGGTTTCACATAACCACTGAGGGTGTTGCATATCGCCCTGCATATACAAAAAATTATCGCTCTGCTACAGGAATGGCAGAAATTGCAGAGGGTTACTACTTACCAACCCCATATAGACCTACCATAGTTAGCGCACTAGGTGCTATCCCTAAACCTAACTCTGAAGATGTTAGGCTAATACATGACTGCAGTCAACCAATAGGCAGTGCAGTCAATGATTATGCCTCTCATGAACATTTCCGATACCAAACAATTGATGATGCAACAAAATTAATTTCACATGGCAACTACCTAGCTAAGGTTGACCTAAAGTCAGCCTACCGTTCCGTAAAAATCCATCCCTCTAACTACCAAGCCACAGGTATTGAATGGACGTTTGTGGGGGACAGCCAACCAACCTACCTTTATGATACACGCCTCCCATTATCTTCCATAGGCTAACCCAAAGTGTGAGACGTATGATGGCTCGCCGTGGTTATGAGGCCATGGTAGTCTACCTCGATGACTTTCTCATCATTGCTGAAAGCTACGCCACATGCAGGATTGCCCTAAACACACTCATCAGCCTACTTCGCCGATTAGGTTTCCGCATTGCTTGGCGTAAGGTTATGGGACCCACTCAAAAACTTACGTTTCTTGGTATTGAAATAAATACCACCACGCTAACTTTGCGCCTGTTGACGCAAAAACTGAGTGAATTGCAAGAGCTGCTGCTCAAGTTTTCTAAGAGAAAACGTGCTAATCGCCGCCAGCTGGAGTCCCTTGAGGGTAAACTTGCATGGGCATGCAGAGTCATAAAGGGAGGTAGAACTTTCCTCCGCTGCATTCTAGACCAGCTAAACAAATTGCGCTGCCCATCGCATAAGATCATTTTATCTACTGAATTTGCTGCCGACATTCAATGGTGGTTAAACTGCCTCCCTCATTTTAATGGCTCAACCAAATTTATTGACCCTCACCCTATCACAGACATACTTATGGATGCCTCCACGCAGGCATCAGGTATATTCCATAGAGGGGATTGGCAGTACACTTTTTGGGGTCTTGATAGGCCTGCCGCAAAATCCCTTCATATCAATCATAAAGAAGTTCTTTCCATTATTTTAGCAGCTAGGAGATGGGGCCCTAGATGGCGAGACTGTACAGTGCATGTATTTACTGATAGCACAGTCGCAATGGCCAATATCAATCATGGTACATCTCGCAACCCGCTAGTAATGTCTGCTCTTCGGGAGTTATTTTGGCTTTCAGTTTCTTACAATTTTAATATACATGCCATACACATCACAGGAACAAAATGACATTCCGGATGCTATATCTAGGTTACACCAACCTGGTCAAGCACAGCGCCTTTACTCCTTACTTCACAGTGACACCCACTGGGAACCCAGAAACTTCATTCTGTCATTACCATATCATATGACTCATCGTGCGC